GGATATAGAAGATCTATCTATAGGAGTTGGAAAACCCTGATTCCAAACCAATGGTGCACATGAGCTCCAGGATCCTAAGAGAACAAACGGCATATTGTTGGTCACCGGCTACCATGAAAACTCATCTCCTAATATTGCCCCACTGCCTTGTGAATTAGACCTCTGGGTCAAAGGCTCGAGGAGTGTCTCCCAAAAAAAATCACCAATTTCGGTTTGGGCACCCGTGCAGTATCACAGCCGTCGCACAAATCAAATGACGATGCGTGGCGCATATATATTTGGTTCCTCCTTGTATCAATGTCTATGTGTGTAAACAAATATTTAATTAAATGATATCAGATTTTGCACATAAGATCTGTTTCGCTTAATTAATTTCCGATTTTAGAGTACTTGACAGATTTATATTGATCAGTACCACCCTAGATACCATTTGATCATTAGTTCGTTTAAGTCTTTCTAATTTTAATCAATTCACGATATTGTGCGACCATCTCTAATTGTCCTCGGTGGGTAACTGCCAGTGGAGTTCAGCCATGTCGAGTGTGAGGCTGTTACCCACTGAAGACAATAGAAGATGGTCGTGTAGTATCGTGGATTGTTCGGAGTTATACATTAACACCATTAGATACCGGCTCAGTGGTCTGGAGGTTAGGATTCCGTGCGCGAGGCCTAATGTCCTGAGTTCAGATCTCACGTGCGGAGTCGTGGATGGGCACTGCTGAGTTGTCTCATACTAGGGGGGAAACGGCCGTCCAGTGCTTCCAGGTTTTTAATAGTGGTCTAACACTGATCGATTCATAATTTCTTGTAAACAAACTACTCGTACTTTATGCTTTCCAATCAAAACTCCCATCAGAGGTGTATACTTTTGTACTCTAAAACTAATTTGATCTGTGATAAGTTTGCTTGCAAGAAATAGAGTGAATAATGTTAACTCCGTATACAACAGTGACTGAGCTTAAATGTTTTGAACGACTAGATTCTACTTAATGAATATTTACGCGTTAACATCATGACCGGAATGCCTGGATTCTATTTGGAACAAAAATTCAAGCTACTACTTACCAAGAAGCTGCACAGTGATCGAATGATTGCAATAAGTTAATGTTTGTTGAATCACTATACTTCATCTATCACTATCAAAAACATTAAGCAATATAAGAAAATCAGAACGATTTAAATTTATTTCGTTGGTTCTCCTTATCAGTCGTTTTGATTCAACTTTTACTTTGCTCATAATACGAAATTTTCTATGACCTTGACTTTTTGACTCATTGAATTCAGCGTCATTTTATTTTATGTGCTTCACTTATCAGTCTCCCTATTGTTTGAGTTAATAATGAATACTGTTCATGATTAATATTATCATCTTGTAGAAGAGTTATTACTGAAACAGACGCTTTGCTTTATGCTTATTTTTGCGTGATGTCCATCTTCGATGAGTTTTATGAGGTACATGTGCATTTCATTATTACTGAGTGTTAGTTAAATTTATCTGATCCTCAACAAAATAGTATATAACAATGACATTAATATAAACAGAAATATTCAGAACAATTACTAACTAATGGTTATTTATAGATTATTTATGTTCTTTCTAGATAATAATTCACATTTAAGACGAAAAAACTTGATGTTGCATCTGCAGAATGTGCACATATGCATACTGTCATACGCATATCATTATATATATATATATATATATATATATATATATATATATATATATATTACAAAAGCCAACTAGTTCCTATAATCACGATTTTGATCATTGAAAGATTCTTAGATAAGTTGCACCTGCCTTTCAAGGTATTTATGCAAAGAACTAAATGAAAAGTGTATGAAATGTTTTCTAGCTCAATCCAACCACAAAATTTGTGCATCTAAATATTATAACTTTACACAAAGAATAAGATTAGATTCACAAGAAAAAATACAGATAATTATAATCATCAAAATGTCATTCTATTTGATTTCCTTATCAGGAATACTACACATTCAACTTGTAGCAATAAATTAGGTGAAAATAATACTATCTGTGCCCAATATTAATTTAAAATTAATTTTTCCAGTCTTAATATGACTAGGGTTCGTTGCACCACAGTTCATTGATTACTAACATGAATATATCAGCATGTCTTCGAATGCTGACTTGCATTCCCAAATGAGTCTATATTAATGAGAAACAGATTCCATGCAATCACTTAGATGGAACCTAAATAATCCATAATGAGAACTGAAATCCTTCAGTTACAATGAAAATGCATTAGGAACTAGAATCAAATGATAAAATTTAATGTAAAACAAAATGCTCTTTTTCTTAAAACAATAAATTTGTTATTACAATCTTTTGAAATACTTTTTGGTTATTTTTCCATCCCACAGAATCAAGTAAAACCATGTCTAGTGAATGAATGTACAAAATCTATATTAAGTCATCCTCAGATGATAATAGTAAAACGTTTTTAATATTTTGATCATATATATATATATATATATATATATAGCTTGCAGAAAATGCAATCATATTATCTGATTTTGTAACATTCTTTTCCAGAACATTTGGTTTGTTAACTGATGTTTTGTATTCAACCGACGGAGCATTTTGAAAAGAATGTAATATACTGAAATGATTATTACGCTCCATAAAAAATTTTCCCTACAATATTTCTCCGTTTTGTAATGCAAAACAAGTTTACACTTGTAAAGGGCGTAATCAACATTATTAGATTTCAACAAATATGAAGACTGGATTGTCTAGAATACTCGGTAATTCAAATCATTTCGTTGAAATAAATTTAAAAAAAGCAACGGCTTCAATAATTGGTTTGCTTAGTTCCCGTAAAATATGAAACAATGTTATCTTTGGAATCAGTCATGAGTGTGTAAGTCTGTCAATACTTAAAAAAATTGCGTCCGTGTATTTGTATTCAGTCGCAAGTTTAGTGATTTATTCATACAGGTGAGACTAATTTCTGAAAGACTTTTGAGCGATACTTAATTGACCTTGAGAATGTCGGTCAACTTACTAGGGTTATATAAGAGTTATGAATTAGTGTAAGGAATAAGAATTAGGATTTACAACTGGACGTTAGAGTTGGAAATTAGAAATACAGTTTTTATTACGAAATAAGATCAGCTATAATACCACAAACGCTGTTTAACCATATGGATGAATGAATTTCGTATGAAAATCCGGGACCTGCTCTCTTAAATTCGATTGGTCCGACCGTAAATTATAGTCTTATACGCAGTACATATCAACTAACAGAATTTACATAGCCATAACTTGGTACCGAGAATTTCGATTTATCAAACTGTATATATATATATATATATATATATATATATATATATATATATATATATATATATATATATATATATATATATATATATAATTTTCCAAACCAAATCATTATCTTGTGGTCATAGTATTTTAAAAAGAAGCTAAGAATCACGTCAGTGGAATCCCATAGAAACCAGAAAATATTTTCGTTAAAAGTACTTCAAACAGTTCTTAACGTGCTATAAAATATACGCAACTTGTGTAGAATTTTTATTACCATCAGTAGCATTATTTCATAATAAAATACTGAGAAATTTCATACTATAGTATTTTTGTTTAATGTATAAGATATGAACGGCAATACTTAACAACTTCACTAGTAGCATGACAGCCTAGCGATAAGTTTTGTGTTTACCATTTCTTGATTCCATGCACACAAAATTCATCGAAATTCAACAGAAACCATTTCTAGAGAAACGTTTTTCCAATGTTACTACAGTTCATCATTCATTTCAGTGACTTTTCGCATTTCATATTGAACTAATCATGTGAATCACTTGAATTTATTTTATTTAAATAATCGGCTCACATATTTTTTATCATAAAAGAATACCATATGGTTTTACTTTTGGTTAACAGCTCAAAACGTTTAGATGCATGAACCTCTGTCAGTGTAAGAACAACACACATTATCTAGATTTTTATTTTTACTCTACCTTATGAGTTTTTATAGGAAATTTGCACTAATGAGAACATGGCTTGTCTTAAAAACTTGCGCGTGTTGTGTAAGGTACTTAAAGGATTCACGAAAATCCTCTACATTATGATTGATTTTCTTATAGAATTATTTAGACTATATTGTCTCTGATGAACATTCTTTGCTTTGTACTTCATTTATCTAGTCTTAAGTGAAAAATATGAGTGTTACCCAGTAACTGCTCTCGTTTTCTGATGTCATTTCAGTACGTCAAAACAAACTTTAACGCTTCCAAATGTTATTTCGTCGATAAAATACGTATTTGTCAAGATAACTATTGAATTTTAACCAACTTTATGGCCAAAAAATGAAGTTCATCTGAACCAAACAATTATATAACAGCAGAAGAGTATGGTTAAATAAATATCATCAATAATGTAAGTTCAATGTACATGTTAGCATGAATAACTCATATCACTGTGTATTCCCTTTCAGAGGTATAGTATTTGAAAATAACCTGAAACTCAAGTGTTCTCGAACTGTTAACGACTGTTTCAAACTGATTAAACAAGTATTCATCACATACATCATGCTATCTGTTATGCAGTTTGAGCCCTCAACATTCACTAGAATTGAAGCAACTGAAAATCTTTAGTTACTTTCCATTATATTATATTTTAATAAAACACGTTTTTAAATCTAAGTAGTACCTGTTAATAAACTATTTTCGCTATTTTGGTAAGGAAAAATGCCTTACTGTAAATCTCATTCGTCGAACATACACACAAAAACTCAAAGTAACCAAAATGTTTGCAAGTTTACTACAATGTTTATGATTAATTATTCTTGTAGCTGATTTTATCGGGATGTAAAGTTATTAAAATATTTACACATACGTTTTAACTAAAAGGGTTAACTTTGTTAGAGGTAACTATGAGCTAAGGAGCACTACGAAAATCTGTGGTAGATTATAAAAAATGGTAATGTCAACGAAGAAAACTTTTGAGTACTTACTCTGTCTGATCGTTTTGAAATTCTATATATCCGACACTATCTTCGAAATCCTTTCCGCCTCCCTTAGCGGTACCTTCGACGGTCTGGTATGGCAATCGAACGATACCTCGGCAACCTATAGATATGAATAGAAGCACTTAGTAAGTTGATCTTGAAGTTAGAATATTTCGAATTTATTACTGATTATTGAAAACTGTTGGGATTGTTTTTATTTTTCGCTGCAGTTTCATCTCACAAGTTTGAAATCTATCTCGAACCACTGTATAAAAATTCACATGTAAGCATCCTTGTGGCTTGACAAAATCAATGTTATTCGTCGCTTAAAATAAACGCAAAATGATAGGTTTCGTTATGCTTGAGGTTAATCGCTTTCACAACTACTGGTTGACTTTATTTTTGATAGGGGCAAACGAACGTATTTACACAGCAGTCTACAAGATTTGTAGCATGAAAGAAATGCTAAATTCCTTTGATCCTTAAACCACAACAATCAGGTTCCAGTTTGTTCACAGCATAAAATGTTTATAGAATTCTGCAAACACTAGCAGAAACATCTAGCTAAGCTAAACCTTCCCCTAAAACATCAGTGTAATTCTGGAAGTCTTTAGCTATTTGTTAACTAAAAATTGCACTTGTACATGCTAAGTAAATGAATCTCAAGTACAGTGCAAATCGATCTTCCATAAACCTGTTTAAATCTAAAGGAACATGAAATCGTGAACTTAGATGATTGCAGCAAAGGTGATTATTTAGTCTAAAGATATAAAATAACATTTGCAAGCCAATCTTCATAATTCTTATCATTAAATCCCTCTTTTGTAAAAATAAATGTTTTAAATCCGACATCTGTCCCAGGTTATAATACGCTATAAAAAACTAGCACTGACATTTAAAATTTTTCTAACAAATAATCGTCCATCAGCAAACAACAATCAGAGTTGAAATAATAATAATAGAGATGTTTTGATTTTTACTGTTATCATAAGATGTTATCTAACTGAACTCAATATTTGGTGTCGTAACCCAAATTATTTCTTTAAGCATAGCTCGCTTTCTACGAACTTTATGTGTTGTAAATAATCATTTTAAAATTCTGAACTCGTCAAGCAAAAATAAGTTCAATCTAAGATATCACAACAAAATATTTCTTACACTGCTTTATATTGATTAGGAGGCCTAAAAATGTATGATATAAATAAGTGTTTATTATACTCTGAAATAAAAATAAAACGTACCAGAAACACGCTGTACTTTGATCTCAGCGTATTCACAAGACTCACTAACGGTAAGATCAGCCACATCAAACTGAAAAACCCCAGAATGATCATCATCCAGAACCATAATAGTAGCAACCATGGGGTCAACCAGAACCGGCTCGATTTTGGTAGACGAATGTTTCACTTCGAGATTTCTCAAATGGACAGTAAAATGTTCGTCTTCCTCAAAAATATCGTCATCAATAATAGAAATCATGATTTGTTTGTGTGTTTCGCCAGCCGAAAACAACAGTAGACCTTTAACTGGTTCATAATCTTCTCCAGCAACTGCAGTTCCATCCAGAGTGAAGTACTCAACAGAGACGACGGCGTGCATATCGCCACCAACACGAGTAACTGTCACAGGAAACGTTCCAACGTTTTCCATTACGGTGTAGTGACCAGGATTAAAAAAGAACCTCTGAACGTGTGGAGGATATGTTTCTGTTGTTAGTCGGTTATCATCAAAAGACATTCGACGTTCAACTTTAGCTTTTTTGATGACATTTCCACTCCCTGTAAGTTGGCGTGTTGCCTGCATTCTGTAATAAGCTCTGGACTTGGGACCCTTATTAAGCACTTCCATTTGGGCTAGTTCTTCCAATTCTTTCATTCCGATATTCGGATTTCGTTTCCTAATTTCTTTAATAGCTTCCACATAATCCATACGATGGCGATCGAATTCCGATTCGTCAACTAATAAGTCCCCATCAGCAGGAGCATATGTCACTTCTTCAGTGTGGTTGGTCAATTCTAAATCACCGTTTGCAGCTTTCATTAGGGCAGTTGCACGATATTTCTTCTTAAGAAACTTTTTAAAGAAAATTTTTGTATCGGCTAAATATGCACAAATCACAATAACGGGAAAAAAGATAAACGTAAGCAGTGCCTCCCAAACTTCCACTACTCCAGGCGTAAAAACAGCTATAATGAGATACATCCAAAGATAAGCGAACAGACTCCACGACGATGTGATGAAAAAGACACTTAAATGTTTGATTCGACGTATCTGTCCATCAGGAACGACAACTATGCATACGCCGATTATGACAAACAAATTAAAGGCTGCAGAACCGACAATAGTGCCAGGACCCAAATCCCCAGCTTCAAAATTCTTCCCAATTATTTCAATAACAGATAATAAAATTTCGGGAGCAGAAGACCCCAAAGCCATCAAAGTTAGATTTGAAACAGTCTCGTTCCATATGCGGACGGATATCGTTTGAGTTTCCCCATTCTTCTTTCTCAAAGTCACTTCCTTTTCTTGCGAAGTGATTACTTCGATTGCAGCCATGAAACGATCGGCAATTATAGACACACCCAAAAATAAATACATAAGTGCTGAAAAGTAAACGATGGCCCTAGCAGCCTTGTCGCCGGCAGTTATGCCTGTGGATGGTCTCCACATAGGTACAATAATCCCATCATAGCAGAATGTTCTTTGACTAGATGGACAAGTTCCGTTAACCAATTTTTCAGCAGTCAAAGGCTTCGATATTACTGAAAATACTATGAAGAAAAGAATGTATTTGAACATGATGTTTTGAAAAGATAATAGTTCCGTAAAGAGTAATTATCAGTAACGGCGATGAAGCATAAACCTTGAGTAAGACCTAATGCCAAGTTTGTCCTTGTTTTTAAAAAGTAGCACGAATAAGTACAACTATACTGAGTAGTTATAACAAATTGTCTCAACTTATCAATCCACGTTAGACACAGCTTGGTAATAATAATAATATATGGAGAAGATATAAGCCAATTAAACGCTTCAATTTGCTTCGTATTCGCCAATTTAGAGCTTGATGGTGTAACGGCTACGTATTGGTAAATAATTCTCTAAGATAAAGTACCCCAAAACGTACTTGAAAACTCAACGTCTATAATGTTCTGTTGAATAAGAAACTGTTTTCTCCTTCAAAACTGACTATTTAGTATATTCGCCTTGATAAGATGAAGCGTTTTGGGACCTTGGTATTCTTATGAGTCACCTACAATGCTCATCCATTTTGATGAAGACTTTATAAGTTAGGATGAAGAGATAAAGCTTATGATTTGTTGGCAATGAACATCCACAACCTGCTCATAGTTACACAATCATGTATGTTCTAAATATCAAAAAGATAATCCTCACTTTATTTACCAAGTCGACAAACACTATGTATTCACGGATGAGCTCCAACGGATAAGAGAATATAGATGGATGGCATGACAAACATTGTCATCAAATACCAGAACATTTTACTTGAGCTAACCGTGACAACCCATAATGATGTCATGTTGAGGTTTTTGACAGTCTCACCTGTCTGACTCGGCTTCGTTGTGCATGATTCACAACCGCTAATGTTTGACGGAAAGTAGAAAAGTATGACTAACGACGTTTTATATTAGTATTATCATTGCAGTAACTGTAATGGCGTACATAGGTATAGAATTACTTTTTACTTCTGTGTACCACTACCATATAACCTGAAATTATCTCCTAGTATACAAGTTGTTGCTTACAGAATAAATCTTTTTCCTTTCATATATTTCAGTGAATGACCGGAGCAAACTAAAAGTGACATACTATATCCCCTCAGTATCGATGAATAATTGTCAGTTTGATTTACTGATCTCTGAATCACCTGACTGCGGTTACACTGGTTCCAGCTCCTGTGTCTACAATTGGGTCAGAACCTCATATTATATCCACAACGTCGAAGAGCAGATTGATCACTGATACTGATTTTACGTTATTTTTACGTAAATAAAACCTTGAATAATTTGCCAATAACACACTTGATAATTCTTCTGTTTTGTTTAATGTGGCGCCTACAAAACTGTTTCCCATGAAGACAAATCAGCAAGTTAGTAACTAGGTCAGTGTGTTGGTATTGTGTTATGAGTTCACAGTCTAATCCGTCTAAAATCGGAACCTCACACAAATTATGACCTTGGAAGACACATTTTGTCCAAACTTTTCATTTGCACATTGGAGTGGTAGTGCTGCCAAGTATTTATGTACTATCTGATGAATTTATGGTTGTTATTGAGTAATGATTAAAAGGGGCTATGTCCTAGGCAAATGTGTACGTTTGATAGGTTTCCCTGGCGTGCCAAGAATCTCCATGGGCGTGCACAGAACACGTGAAGTCAGAAAGAGAAACAAAGAAGCAGCAAGGCACTTGAGTACAAACAATAATGCCTAAACGTCTATTGTGGAACAGACAAAGGTATGTTAAATCGTAAGATAAAACTCATACTAACTGCCCTCCATTGTATGATCTTGGCTAAAACCTTTAGATGAAAGAATACAGAAACAAGAACGATGAGTTGTGATGTTTAACAAAGTGAAAGGGGTTCAAACAAAGAAGAGAAAGTTGAAGTTTGATTCAGCAAAGACAGAAGACAAATGTCCATCACGTTAGGCGGAAAGATGTAAGAACGTAATGGTCATAAATATGGTAATAGGTAACGAGATGAAATTAACAGTTATTCATTAAACCTTATGCAGAAGCAGTAAATTGATGAGAAAATATACAAAAAGCAACCCGAAATAAGTTGGTATTCGTGTTGGTTTGTGTGATTTCAACTGAGTGATGGTCTACAAGCTGTATATATCCAAGATCACTAGTAATGTGTCAGCAAATTGTGAGGCTCACTCAATAACTTGCTAAAGTCATGATGAACGTTTCTTGAGATCGACTATATCTGAGCAGTATTGGTAGGTTCTGTGAGTTATCGCTCTCCTTCAAATGGAAATTAAAGTAGGACATGTCTCTCCATAGAAGAATCCAACACAACTTCAAAGAAAATGAGTATGCAAAACGAAACTTAGAGCCTTACGTAGTTTAGATGTATGGGGAGTGCAGTGTCGGTTACTATATCAAACCCACACCGCTTATTCCAGCTTCTAAATAGGAGGATTTATTCATTCTTCTTCAGTCAGGTTTTGACCTTGTTAATTATTCACTTATCAAAGTTGATTTCTGATATGCGCATTTATGTGTAAAGCTTATCCTACTTATCATATGTCTGTAGTTTATTTTTGTGTGTTATAACTTGCCAGTTGAACGCTACTTGTAATATCTGGTCGTCGCTGACTGGTATGTCGGAGACGCTTATCACTTATACTCCAAACGAGGGACCTCCGCATTTCCCACGACGCGAAGTTAAGAACACAAAGATTAGTATATATGAATATTTATTAACCCCGAAACACGACGAAGACAGTCAGAAATACATTTGTTTATATATTGATTGTACACACAATATGACTAATAATTAGGATGAAATCACATTTATGAAAAATACTTAGGGTTATAACATGGTTCATGCCAGATGATTACAAGAATATCGTATATTATACAGAATAAAATGTCACACAAGAAAACAAAACAAATACTACACTGAGTAATCATCACATTGAATCGGAACGGAAGTAATATTAAAAAGAACTCATAATTAGTAAATCAATCTAAAATTAACTTTTCCTTCCATTATATTAGTGTGATTGTAAATATCGATTAATGTTTGAATAAATCGAGTTGGCTCACACGCCTTCTTCACTGCGCACCATCTAGCTTCGCTCCCATTACTTTGCTTTCTTCGCCTCATTTCTTTTGATTGCCTGTCCAGACCTGTGAGAGTACAAAATATATGTATCCCGAAATCAAAACGCGACTCAAGAAAAATTAATAAATTGAACCGTCCGGAAGGTAGAATAAGTTATATGGGCTTAACTTAGTGGCCGACACTACTGGGGCTTATGATAGTGAGTAAGATGCAGAATTGTTCTCGCGTGCTCAGACCAGTGAGAACGAAGGTTTCATTAAAACGTTCTACAGACGTACGAAGTTCTGTAGAATTATGGTCTACTATGATATTAGTACTGCTCTAATAATAGACCTAATCCTGAAATTGTAGATTTGTCATGATATAACTGCATAATCTATAAGATCTTACGTGGAAGTCACACCATCGGCTACATCAACTCACTGTATCGTCTTTCTAAAGGAAGTCTATTCCACATTAGTGCATACTTCATGACGGGGATGTCTTTCTAAGTTTCGTTCGGTATTTTTCGATCGTAGATGCTACCTGTGGATTGTCGTATATATACAGGCCCTGAGTAGGGAGCATATAATAAGTAGAATAGGTAAGTTTTTCAACAAGCTTGCACTTGAAAATCGAACTGCACCTAATCTATCCATTCACCTAATTCTGTGGAAATTATGGGGAGCTTCGTGAAAATTTAGAGGGGTTCTTGAAGCCAATCAAAGTGTAAAAACCTTTTGTAAATACACAGATCAATGGATATTTGGTGAAATCTAATGTCCAATGGTAGTAGAAAATTATTTTGGGTGAGACTCAGCAAAGTATTTCACTGCTATTTGTTATATTGTTCGTTTTTTCTATTCAGAATTAAAACAGTTTGTTTTTTTGCTTTTATGCCACTACAGTTAACTACGTTAACTACATTAGATGGTTTGTAGTTTTTCGGATAAATCCCCAAAATAAATAGTTCTGTAAATTTTCGACATTGGATGCTGACCACATTAGTTTTAATGGACTCACCTAGCTGAAGGCGCTTGGTCATGCATCCGCACCAGATCACGTGTGGGAACGCCGTTCTCAACATCTACTGCAATCGCTAGCCAGACTAGATTAGACAATTCCGATATATTGACAATCGTCAAACACAACTTCTGATCTCCTCGATTCTGTCTTTTGACTTCTCTTGGTGGGTACGAGTTATATTAGGTGTTACTGGTAAAAGGGTTGTCAAACACTGAATACCTGTGCCATCTTCACTTGAAAGGTACTACACACTATCATGCAACAGAGATCGAAGGATTTCGAATCCTCTAATCATTAAGTATGGCCCTCTGCCATGTGAATGCTAAGATCCGTCTGATTATGTATCCAGTTTTCACTCTATGGAGAGAGATCGACCAAATCAAACATATTTCCCTCGTCATTTAGAAGAACTAGAGGTGACTATCACTTTTTAAGTTACTGCTAAATTTACACCTGATATCCCATCATCTGAGTTTCCTCCGAAACAGAGGGCTTACGAGAGCATTCGCAAACTTAGATCAAATCACTTGTCAGCTGACTATCGACTTTCCCAACGAATAATCGACTAGTTACCTCAACTTGTGATTGAAGCTACATCTGTCGACTCATTCAAAAGTAAGTTAAATCAACTGAGAGAAAACCATCGTCAGGGCTAAAACTGTGCAAACAGTCCCCTGTCGTTTCCGAACTGAAACTGAAACACAAAACTGGAGTGGGCTACTATGATATACTGAAAGCTAGCTGTATAAGCAATCAAAAAAGAATGTACCACTTCCAGTCCCACTGATTTTCCCATATCCAAATATCTTTTTTGTCTTTAGTCAATCGTCATCGTTGAGGTTTACAATGACTCGCCGATTTTATAACGTTGCTTATGAAGCTAGTCCCACTTTTAAAAGTTCACTAGACGCGGGGGATTCGGCCTCGCCGTTATATGTTTCTGCCCAACCTTAGGTGCCGTGTAGTTTTCTTGACTTATCTTAGTATGTCTCGGACTAACAAGAGTGAGAGACAGTTTATATATTTTCTCATTCTTCACAGGTCATAGGCCACCGGGTTTGAAAGGAAAAGAGATAGGTCTTTGGCATGCTGCTCA